AAGTTCAAAAAATTTGATGAATTTATGAAGGTTGCTTGTTGGGTCAACAAAAGACGACAACATGGAACAATATACACTTCAACGATATAGCTTTTAAAATAGAAAGAAAAACAGCAGCACTGCCACCACTTTTTCTGCTTACCTTTTCTTTCCCCACTACTCCCACTTCTCCATTCTTGTCTGATTTCTTGATTCCAAAATTATTTTTCCATCAAACATTTATAATTTCGAGGAAAAAGAACAAGAAATATTTGTTCTTTTCAGAAAAGCATTTGAAGAAGGGAAAAAACGGCAAACGTAAAAAGGCGAACAAAAATAAAGACACTCTCCTTCTCCCATCAATAATTTCAACCAATATATTCCCTTTCATTTGCCTACTTATTTTCCCCTTCTTTTTTCTCAACAAAAAAAAAAGCTAAATATTGTCACAGAATCAAACAACACTACTCAAAATAAACGAACAAATCAAGCACTGTAGTCAATTAACGAATACAATGGTAAAATTCGAGGGGAAGGGGAAAAAAACTTGCTTCAACTCTTCGACTGTATGTTGGTTGATACCGTTGCTGTTTCTGCTGCTTCCGTTGCACCGATGATCGGTGTTGCTGTCGTCGTCGACGTTCCAATACAATACCGTTGTTTGGAATATCAGTGAAAATATTTGATAGCTGCTTGAGATCATCCCGTTTTTTTGACAGATATATTAATGCATCGTTGCAAAAATTTGTATATATCTTACCGTTCATGGCGAGAATTTATTTGCCCGTAATCAGCTATACGAATGTCCATTCTGAAAAGGCAAAAATAACAAGAAAAATCCATACACATATACATAGAAACACAAATGAAAGCATCTATGAATTAATTTCTTAGTTTAACAGGAACTACTGTTCACAATGTAACATTGGTGTTTACTGAAAATAAAAAAACGAAAATTAATCTAACACATCAAACTCTGATATATTTATTCAAAAAATATGTCTAATATATAAAAATTTTTTGGCCTTCCTCTTTAACAACTAACTAATCGCTCTGAAAAGAAAAAAAAAAAAGCTAAATGAGAACAAAACGTTTCTTTTTGACGCCATATGCTTTTTGGCTCTTTTCAACATGCTTTCAAAATAGCCAATTCTATCCCTTATCACTGTTGTTGCCAATTAATTGTGAAAAAAAAAATTACCGTATTTAGTATGTGGTCTTCAAACTGTTACGACGAACAATACAGATGAAGTTGAAAATCAGGCAGCAGATTGGATGCCAATTCAACAACAACAACAACAACGAACGATGCCATTCATCTGATAAATGAAAGAAAGTAGGAATGAAATTTTCGATGATAAACAGCGCATCTATCGAAAAAAAAAAAA